TTAATGGCATTCAGCTCTCTAATTGATTATTATTTTAAAAAATGGAAAATTGAAATTTAAAACGTATTTATGGAACATTAGTAACACTGTGACCACAATTTTTGGGTGGTGGACATTTTAGTCGAAATTTGGAGGTATGGCGGGACATGGGTTTGTATATCGGATGAAAGTGATTAATGGTACGAATCAAAGCGGATGAGGAATATTTTTGTGAAACATTTCACCTTTACAACTCAATTCCTTCAATGACCTATTTTCTTGGACCGAAACAAAAGTGTCATGCAATGAGATATTTAGAATCAAGAATTTTTTTCATTATTTTTTTTCAATGTCTTTGAAAACGAATTGGAATCGACTTCGAAAACAACATCTCCTTAGCTTTTGAACACTTATAGTTTTGTTAACCTTATATATGGACTTGGCTTTAAAATTACGGTAAATCTATATACGTACTGGATACAGGACGATTCCCCTTCGTACGAATTGGAGTCTACCAAATCCAGGCCCTATCCATTAAAATGTCAAAATTGTTAAGACCGAAATTTACGCTAAATGTTGTTAATTTTTATACCCCACTCCTCATAGTGGTTATGGCATTATGTCTTTGTGCATTTGTTTGTAACATGGAAAAGGAAGCGAGATAGGCCCATAGATACTTCAATCTTCAAAGAATCACTTTCTGAGTTGATTTATGCATGTCAGTACGTCAGTCCATGTATACTTGTGAACAAAATACAGGTCGGATTTTTTATCCGATTGAGCTGAAATTTTCCAAATAATATTTGTTTGGCCCAAGGACGAACCCTATTGAAATTGGCGATAATCGGATCAGATTTACATATAGCTCCTATATATCTTCAACCGATTTCGCGTTAATTGTGTACCAAATGACCAATATAAGTCCAAATGACCTACATTTTGGCACACCACACCGAATTCAATCTAGAAGCAAGTACATTAAATTTGGATAAAATCGGTTCAGATATAGCTATAGCTCCCATATACATACATGTTTCATCAGATTTGGGGCTTTAAGTCCCTCACATTCGTAATATGCATTTGACAGCAATGATATCTGGTACCAGATATCATATAGATATTGGAAATACATCTGCCAAATTTTATCAAGATCGGTTCAGATTTGGATATAGCTCGCATATATCTACAACCGATTTCAGGTTTTTGGAATGCATTTTTTCAGTTACGACTGAATTCAACCTAGAAACCAGTACTTTAAATTTGTTGTAAATCGGTTCCGATATAGCTATAGCTCCCATATATATGTTTTATCCGATTTGGGGTTTAAAGTCACAAGCGTAATATACATTCCACAACAATGATCTTTCTGGTATAAAAGATTAAAATGTCTCTGTCAAATTTAGTGAAGATCGAGCTTTGTATACGATTTTCAAAAATTCAAAGTTTTTTTTGGGGAAGGTACCAAAAAGACTAGATCGATATATTAAAAAAAATTGGCCATTGATTTCCCACTTTAAGGGAGTTTTTATTTCTATACCACTTCACTTCTATTTGTATACTTTATCAGTTATGAGATTTTTATGTTTTTGTTTTTGAATATTGCTGAACTTTTGTAGGGGAGGTACCAGAAAAATAGATGTAATGGAATGAATGTTCAATTTTCAAACGTACTCTAATATAGGCAAAAATAAACAAGTAAAAACATTAAGTTAAGCCGGGCTGAACTTTTAATACCTTCTACCATTGGGTAAAGAAAACATTTTTATATAAAGTATCTGAATTCAAACGTGTTCCACTTTCAACTACAAATACCAGTAAGACCGTTAGGATAATGCTGTTAAGCTTTTCAAAAAGGAGAGAGGTGAGGCCGTTGTATAGAGGTCATACCAAAACGGAAAACTCCATAGACAAATTTATACTTCAAGGTTTGTCATCTACCAAATCTTCTTAAATGCCAAATTTGGAACAATTTCGTGGGTAATTGTGACTAGGATTATCAAAATACCGAATGTCGGTGGGTATCGTTCCTAAATATTCAATATTCGGCCGCCCAGACTGGAACCCATTACGAACTACAAATACACGTTTTTAGATAAAACCGTGGAAAAATTTGGCAAAAATCATCAAAATACTGAATATCTGGAGGTACAATTTTGTGGGGGCTATACAAAAAAGTGGACCTATACATACAATTTTTCACCAGCAGAACCCAGTATGACCTACAAATACAAATTTACAAATCCGTGAAAAAATTTGGCGAATATCATCAAAATTCCGAACATCGGGAGGTACCCTTATATTGCAGCTATAACAAAACGTGGACCGAACCAACCTACTATATACACAATACATATTTTTCTGCCAACTTTTGAAGTTCCACCGTTAGCTCGTCTTAGAATTTTTGTTCATTATGAATATAAATACTTAATGGGGTCTACGACGAATATTTATGGATGTTACAAACGAAATGACAAAGTTAATATATGCTCTTTTTCAAGGTGGAAGGTATAACCAATTAGTGCACAATTACCCCGAAATCGGTTGAAGATATGTTTGGGAGCTATATCCAAATCTGAACCGATCTTGATGAAATTTGGCAAATGTATTTCTCTATAAGATATCTGGTACCCAATATCATTGTTGTCGAATGCATATTGCAAATGTGAGGGACTTAAACACTAATTCGGATGAACCATGTATATGGGTGCTATAGCTATATCTGAACCAATTTTCATCATATTTTATATACTTGTTTCTACACTGAATTCGGTTGGATGTGCCAAAATCCATTTGGACATATATTGGCCATTTGGTGCTCAATTATCAGAAATCGGTTGAAGACATATGGGATCTATATCTAAATCTGATCCGATTATCACCAATTTCAACAGGGTTCGTACTTGGACCAAACAAATATTGTTGGGAAAATTTAATCTCAATCGGATAATAAATTTTGTTCATAAAAATTCATAGACAGACGGACATAAAGTACATATGGGTCTATCTCGCTTCCTTCTCAATGTTACAAACAAATGTACAAAGACATAAACCCTTATTACTAAATGGTGTAAGGTATATATATTCATCGGATTTGTTACAACCAGGCGTTAGCCTTAAAAATGTCAATATAAGTGTCTATATATTGTTCACTCAGAAAAACACTTAGGCTTTTTTGCAACAAAATTCTTACAATGTTTGGAAATGATCTTCATTTCGCGATTTTTATTTCAGTTTTTTACGATTTAAAGTTCAAGGTCACTCAACGTTGCAATAAGCGTTCTATTGAAATAATGATCATGATATCCAAATTTAATGGAAATTGTATAACATTTCTACCTACCAACTTTGTTCGAAATCGGTTTAGGTTTAAATAAGCTCTCATACATTGTTCTCACACATTCAATTAAAAGTACGTACGAAACACGCAACGGTTGTCCAACTAATATAAGATTTTCATTCTATGATGAAGTTTTGGCTAGTATTAAAGTCTAGGCTCCTCTACTTATGTTTCATTGGATTCTATATTTAAACGTTTTCAATAATTACATATTTTGGTGCAAGAGATCATAAACAGACATCTGCAAAATGTTGTGGAAATTGATTCAGAGTAAGGGGTTTCGAAGGAATGAGAAAGAAACACGCCAATTATATGTGAGTTTTTTATATTGTTGATTTCTATTACAGAAAAACAATAAATAAACTAGTAAAAAAGCTGTAAGTTTGGCGGGACCGAATTTGAATACCCTCCGCCATGTGGGAGGAATCTGGCAATTAAAAAAAATAAAATAAGATAAAAAAATCTGTTAAAATCTTAAAAATACCGAATGTAGCCGTTATGTTAGGGTCTATACGACGACGTGTACCTGCATAGGCAACTTTTGTCATAAGCCATTACAATATTCAAATGCGAAACTTAAAACAAAAATTCGGTGAATAATGTAGCTAAAATCATCAAAATACCGAATATAGGGAGGTACCATAATATGGGAGCTATACCAAAACAGAAAATCTTCTTTCGTAGGCTGTAGTATCCTTTACGTACTTCAAATACAAAATTTGAAAATTCCGTTGAGTAATGTTGCTAAAATCATCAAAATATCGAATATCGGGTCTATACGAAGACGTAGGCCTGCACAGACAATTCTCTGTCATAGGCTGTAGTGCCCATGACGAACTTCAAATACCAAATTTGAAACAATTTCGGTGAATAATGTCGCTAATATCATCAAAATACCGAATATCGGGAGGTACCGCTATATGGGGGATATACGAAGACGTGAACCTGCACAGACAATTTTCAGTCTTAGGATGTAGTTCCCATGACGAACTTCAAATACCAAATTTGAAACAATTTCGGTGAATAATGTCGCTAAAATCATCAAAGTACCGATTATCGAGAGGTACCGTTATATTGGGCTATATGTAACATACACTTCATTTTGTTGGAAGCTAGAGCGATTTCCACAGACGGACGGACGGACGGACATCGCTAAATCGACATAGAAATGTATATTTCTAGGTGTTACAAACGGAATGACAAACTTAATATATACTCCATACTATTGTGGAGGGTAAAAAATAAGGAATTGGTGTTTTTCTTCCGACAGATATAAACTGGACCTAAGATACACTGTAAAAAGTCCACAATATAGAAGTACATTTATGAGGGAAGGCTCGGTTAAAATAGATTGTGTAAAGTATCAAATAGTCGGTCTTGTCCGTCTTTTGTATATTCCTTTCTGGTGGTTACTGAGCTATTCTTTTCCATAGGATTTTTTACATTGGGCAATATGGTCAACATATTTCTTGATTTGTTGTCACACCATTGCGTTGTCTGTTTTACATTCCTACCCAAAAATGCTTTTCAAATTATTATTGTTACCGGTACTCCGGTACTGTATTAGAGAGCATTTCCATCATTTCCATGGTAATATTGTTGACACGCATCGAATACTAACCTAAAAAAAACAAATAAAAATATTAACATTTTAGTCTTTTTGGTTGGGAAACTTACAACTGACCTTACAACGATGTAAATTCCTTTGTAAACAGCCAGCCCCAAACAGCAGATCCGTCGATTTAATTAATTTTCTCTTAAATTCACACTAAATTTTCAATTGTCACAGCACAATTTCAATTGGATTTTCTTTAGAACAAAAATAACAACAAAACACTTGTTCCGTTAAACTTCTTTTCTCTTTTAATTTGATTAAAATATGCTTATTTTTGGATTTTTTTGTTATTTTTTTAGTGTTTTCTTTTCTTGAACAAAAAACAAAATAAACAAAAGAAAGATGGAGCGAAGGAAAACTTACGATAAATGTTGAGAATCAAAACAAAACGACCAACAGCACAAGATTCTGCTGATATAGAAGAGTTACCGTATTGAGACAATTGGAAGTGTTTCAAGAGAGTTGCCAGATAGCACGAAACACATGAAAGAAGGTGCGAAAGGGAACATCCGATGAATGTTGAGAATCAAAATAAAAAATCCAACAACGCAAGATTCTGCTGCATTCAAAACGGATTGATAACACCAAAGAAATATTTAATCCATGAGGAATGATGACATTGCAGCGGGTTATTGGCTTTGCTATCAACGGTAGCTGTGTTTAGTGAGTACAACAAATGACTGTCGATAATGACGTTCACTGCAATAACAATGATATATACAATCCAAAAGATGGCGCTGTGCATGATTTAAACATTAGCCAGTTTTTAAACTAAGGCTAATTGACATGGAAACTTAAATTTGAGTTTTACGATGTCAGTTATTGGACGTACAACTAATGGGATTTTTATACCCTCCACCATAGTATGGAGGGTATATTAAGTTTGTCATTCCGTTTGTAACACCTCGAAATATACATTTTAATCCCCACAAAGTATATATATTCTTGATCAGCATAAAATTCTATTCCCATTTAGCGATGTCCGTCCGTCTGTGTAAATCACTCTAGTTTCCGAATGAAATGAAGTTGATTGATAAAATTTTACTCAAATGTATATTATGTCTGCAGGACTTCTGGTATTAAAAATTGGTATTGTAAATTGGTATCTCCATATTTTCGGTATTTTGATGATTTAAGCGACATTATTCACCGGAAATGTTTCAAATTTGGTATTTGATGTTCGTAATGGATACTACTGCCTAAGACAGAAAATTGTCTGTGCAGTTCTAAGTCATCGCATAGTCCCCATATAACGGCACCTCCCGATATTCGGTATTTTGATGACTTTGGCGACATAATTCACCGGAATTCTTTCAAATGTGGTACTTGAAGTTCGTAACGGATATTACAGCCTATGACAGAAAATTGTCTGTGCAGATCCACGTTTTTGTATATCCCTCATATAATGGTACCTTCCTATATTCGGTATTTTGATGATTTTAGCTACATTATTCACCGATTTTTTTTTAAGTTTCGCATTTGAAACCCTAATATGACGGCTACATTCGGTTTTTTAAGATTTTAACAGAACTTATTACGGTTTTCTCTTTTTTTAAATTGCCAAATTCGTTTCATAACGGTGGAGGGTATTCAAAGTTCCGCCCGGCCGAATTACAGCTTTTAACATGTATGTTCCATATTTAAGACTTATAATGTTAAATGATTTTTGAATTACTCATTAGTGCTTTCTGAAAATCTGTTATGCATGCAGGACATTTAAAATGTTCTCTGGATGTCTGGGGGCTTTTGGTACAGACAATCTTTTTCTAAGTTTTTAAAAATATGGAATTCCTATTGGGAGTCTTCTGTACAGAGATGAGCATCTGGATGTTTGCGATATAGTGACGAGATTTTCTATATACACATGTGTATTCTGTCTTCCTATATTCTATTCTAATAATAAAATCACTTTAAATAGTGATGCAGCCTCCCAAAAAAAAAAAAAAAAAAAAAAAAAAAACACCTGCCTCAATATAATACTTTTCATATTAATTTTAGTTATCATGCATGATTGGAAAAAGCAAACCACCACAAAGGTTATCCTACTGCCCCACCCGCCAGCCAATGTCATGCGTGTCAGAGTTTTTTCAACTTTCGCTGAAATTAGTGTTTAGCAAACGTTCATCTCTGAACCCGTGGATGAACCATGAAGGTATGCGTTGTGGTAATCATAACTACAACCTTCATTGAGTTGTGAACTTGATCACAAGCGTTACCACGGAGTTTCCCCCTTTAAACATTTGTGTATTTTTCTATGGTTTCATTCATAATTATTTGCGCTTCAGTGATACAGAGTTGTCAACGTCGTTACACATGGAAGGGTTTATGGTGTTTTTTTTTTGTTTTTGGTTGTTAAATAATGTTTTATGCTGCTGCATTATGAGATGGTCAAATGTTATTTCAAGTAACCACCCTAAACGCACCCGTTGCCGCCAATTGACAACTAAATTGCAACGATTTTTTTACGGGGTAAAAAAATTATAAAAATTATATACAAATATAGGCCAGGGTTACTAATATGCTTCCTGAAAAAATGGGTTCATAAGTAAACATTTTTTTGTAATATTTAATTGGATGGAATTGACTCAATTTTGTTATAAATTTTTTGTTACTAAAAAACAATTATTGGAAATAATTGTTGATAAATGCTATGGGTTTTTTTCGGGCACAGTAATTCAGAACTAGATTTTCCTCCCAAAAACATATATTTTTTGCTAGCACAAACATTTATATAATTACTTATTTCTTGAAAATTACTATCGAGATTATGCTTATATTTCACACCTAATTGCTGCACAGGGCAAAAGGAGGGAGGTAGACTTATAGTTCCTTTTGGTGATTTGCATGAAATCACATTCAGAGTCGATTTATGTATGTCCATCCGTCCTCGTATTATACCCTCCACCGTTCTATAGAGGATATATTAAGTTTGTCATTACGTTTGTTACTCCTCGAAATATTTATAATAGACCCTACAAAGTGTATATATTCTGGATCAGCGTAAAATTCTAAGACGATCTAGCGATGTCCGTCTGTCCGTTTGTCTGTCTGTTGTAATCACGCTATCTTTCGAACAAATTGAGATAGAAGGCTAAATTTTGCATACATGCATAGTTTAGCAGTAGGCAGCTTAAGTTCGTAAATGGGCCATGTCGGCCACGTTTTCGTATCGTAGCTCTCGATATTCGGCATTTTGATGAAATCAGCAACATTATTCACCGGATTCATTTCAAATTTCGTACTGCAAGATCCTAATGGGTACTACAGCCTATGACAGAAAATTTCGTATGCAGGTCCACGTCTTTGTATATTCCCCATGCAACGGTTTTCATTTAAGTGGTAGTTTTCGGATTTTTTTTTAATTTTTCAAGTTCCTTTGAAATGGTGGAGGACATTAAAAGTTCGGCCCGAACAACTACCCTCTGTAGCCATATGGCTGAGGGTATAATAAAGGGGTACCATTATATATGATAAATTCTATAAAAGATTTTGATCTTAAAATCTATTGTGCAGTAAAATTATGAGAATTGGAAAAAATGCTATTTTTATACTCTCAGCCATATGGCTACTGAGGGTATATATCATTTAATACGGTGCCTAGTCGAAATAACGGTTTTAGACCCTAGGTATCTTTGGACCAAATCCATTTCAGGAAAATTTGGAGTCGATCTAGCTATGTACGTCCGTTCATCCGTCTGTCTGTCTGGCTGGTTGGCTTGTGCGTACGATAATTCTCGAGGGGAGTATCCGATTTGGTCTAAACTTGGTACATCGTAATATCTTAGTCAAACTTAGATCGAGTTCGGAGATGGGCAATATAGGTCCGCCCCTTCTGGTACTTCCCCCACAAAAAGACGAAATTTTAAAAAAATATATTTTCTGCACAGAAAGAGGAGCAATAATCCAATTTTGCTCCAACTTTGCAAAGCCTAATATTTTCGTCAGTTCTAGGTCAGGTGCCAACATAAATAATATCGGTCCCCTCCATCAAGTGCCTCAACCATAAAGGGTAAATTTTTTGAATAATTATAACTTTTATAAAGATTGTCTTAAAATCTTACACACCCCAATATTATAAATAAAATAAACCCAAGATCTGGTATTAAGATGGAATATATCAGTTCACTCCTTCTGGTACCTCCCCCACAAAAGATCGAAATTTTGAATATCCATAAAATGCGAAATTAACATCCGATTCCACTTAGACTTGGCACGTCTGAGTATTTCTATCAACATAAGATCTGTTCTAAATATGATAGAGATCGGACCACTTCTTCTCGTACCTGTCTCACATAGGCTTCAATATTTTGAAAAACAAAACTCTCAAAGAAAGCAAAATAAGCATCCAACTCTCTTCAAATTTCACATATACAAACAGTTTTGCTAATACAAGATCCGTTTCGAAGATCATGTACATTTGCGAACCAATTCTGGTACCTCACCCACAAAGGATTACAATTTTCAATAATTTTATCTGTCATAACTTGCGAAACAATTCAGCTATGCTTTACAACTTGTGATTTCTAAATATTTCCCTCAAAGAGAAACCTGAGATGAAACTGGAATTTTTCGGAATTTATAATTTCGCATAAATGTTCGATTTTCTTGTAATTTTGCCCATAACTCACGCTCATTTTAACATTTTACAAAAATTATCACATATCTCATAACAAATGAAGGAAGTAGTCGATATATGTAGTTCAGACTCTGCATGTCGCAATATTTATATCATATTTAGACAAGACAAAATTGGACCATTCCTTCGGAGCCTATCCCAAAGACGGTCAACAATTTGAATAATCATAACAGAAGTCAAAATATATATTAAATAATGGAACATTGTCTAAGGGGATAACTCTGTCAACAAAACCGACTGAAACTTTTTAACTTGTTTTTTTTTTTATCTACAAAAACGGATGCAATTTTTATGGCACATATTAAGTATACAAATTTCTTTTGTTTGGAGACTCACAATGAAATTCGATCTAGATTAGTTTTCCCTTTGACACTTTCCCTAAAAAATCAAGTATAAAGGGAGATTTTGACTCGGATTGGGTATGTGCTAAATTAACAGTGCAAAAAAGCAAAGACATAATTTTCTCTTTTGAGTACATAAATTTTTAATGTATTTTTCTTAAAAACTATTGTTCCTAGATATATTGTATATTCTAAGAAACCTTACACCTAAATCAAATTTTTATGAAACTTTCAGCGTTTGATCGTAAAAAGTCCCAAAAAATTATCAAATATTTTCGGATTTTATTTGGGAAATTGATGCAAATATTAATATTTGGCCATACAATGGAAATGGAGA